GAGAGGCTGGAGGATGAGGAGGAGATGAATGCAGAACTGACTGCTAAGAAGAGGAAGCTGGAGGACGAGTGCTCCGAGCTGAAGAAAGACATCGATGACTTAGAGTTAACTCTAGCTAAAGTGGAGAAGGAGAAGCATGCCACTGAGAACAAGGTATGACTAATTTGATATTTCTATTTCTGACAATGAGGGTACGAAAAAGAATCATGTTTCAAACCTGTGCATGGAATTTGTAATACCATCATTTACCTGCAACAGGTCAAGAACCTTGTTGAAGAGATGGCTGCTCAGGATGAGATCATTGCCAAGCTGACCAAGGAAAAGAAAGCTTTACAGGAAGCTCATCAGCAAACTCTGGACGACCTGCAGAGTGAGGAAGACAAAGTCAACACTCTGACCAAGGCCAAGGCTAAGCTGGAGCAGCAAGTGGATGATGTAAAATATAAACTTTTTGAAATTATGCTACTTAGATGACACTATATTGGGGATTAAGCTATTCAGAAATGCAATAATATTTCATTTTTGCCATAAGCTTGAAGGATCTCTTGAGCAAGAGAAAAAGATTCGAATGGACCTCGAGAGAGCTAAGAGGAAGCTAGAGGGAGATCTAAAGTTGACCCAGGAGTCTGTGATGGATCTTGAAAATGACAAGCAACAGCTGGAGGAGCGTCTGAAAAAGTAAGCATTCATCTCAACATTGTTCAGTCAGTATCATCACTGAATACCATGTACACTGTTTTGTTGCCTAACACTGACAAGAAAAAATGCTGCAGGAAAGACTTTGAAATCAGCCAGCTGAACAGCAAAGTTGAAGATGAGCAGGTCATCATTATTCAACTGCAAAAGAAACTGAAAGAGCTACAGGTGACAAAATGTGCACTGTTTTTTGTCTTAACTGTATTTTTTAAAGTACTGACTCATTTCAACATGTTATTCTCGCACCAGGCTCGTGTAGAGGAGCTGGAGGAAGAGCTCGAAGCAGAGAGAGCTGCTCGAGCCAAGGTGGAGAAGCAGAGAGCTGACCTGGCCAGAGAGCTGGAGGAGATCAGTGAGAGGTTGGAGGAGGCTGGAGGAGCCACAGCTGCCCAGATTGAGATGAACAAGAAGAGGGAGGCCGAGTTCCAGAAACTGCGCAGAGACCTCGAAGAGGCCACTCTGCACCATGAAGCCACTACTGCCACACTCAGGAAGAAACAAGCCGACAGTGTTGCTGAGCTGGGAGAGCAGATTGACAACCTGCAGAGAGTCAAGCAGAAACTGGAGAAGGAGAAGAGTGAGCTCAGACTGGAGCTGGATGATGTGGTCTCCAGTATGGAACAAACTGTAAAGTCTAAGGTAAGTTTAAAAATGTGGTTGGTCACTCTTCAAATAACAGATTAACATCTAGACTGTCTGTGAACTGTTATATTTAGACTACACTGGAAAAGACCTGCAGAACTTTGGAGGATCAAATGAATGAATACAGGACCAAATGTGATGAATATCAAAGATCCCTTAGTGACTTAACCACCCAGAAAGCCAAGCTTCAAGCAGAGAATGGTTTGTATTATCCTGTGTTCACTTAAAATGTCATACGCATTTAATACAGAACAATGGAATATAATGAACTTGAACCTCTTTAGATGAGCTTTTAAGACAGATGGAAGAGAAAGAATCTCTCGTTTCTCAGCTGACTAGAGGAAAGAATTCCTATAACCAACAACTTGAAGATATAAAGAGACAGCTAGAAGAGGAAATAAAGGTATGCAAAACTAGTATAGAGCCAAATAAATTAAAAATAAAAACCCAAGCTGCAAGATAATTGCCCCCATTATACATATATTATATATATATATCCATCCAGGCCAAGAATGCATTAGCCCATGCAGTGCAGTCTGCTCGCCATGACTGTGACCTGCTCAGGGAGCAGTATGAGGAGGAGCAGGAGGCTAAAGCTGAACTGCAGCGTGGCATGTCCAAGGCCAACTCTGAGGTGGCTCAGTGGAGAACCAAGTATGAAACTGATGCCATCCAGAGGACTGAAGAACTAGAAGAGGCCAAGTAAGTTAAATACAAACAAGGATATTAATCTAAACTGTGAAATATGTTAAAGAGCTCAAAAGAAGAACAGTAAAGATAGGACCACCTGCTTTAAGGCCTGTTTATACCTGTTTATACTATCCAATGGTGGCGTGGCATGTTGTGCACGTCCCAATTTTTACAAGCTGCTGCGCGGGTACCATGGATGGGTTGAAGACACGAGTGTTTGATCTTCAGTGCCATTTCAATAATGTATCAGTACAGAAGCTCTGAGATTTCCAGATGATAGGTAGAGAAGGTATACGTGATAAGGCGAGACCTTCTGGAGGAAACTTTGAAAACAGTTTTTTGTAGCTTTTTTTTTTTTTTCCAATACCAACGCTGGTGCAGAAGATTTTGCTGAGTGGCGACAGCTGTGATGACGATAATTATGTCTTCAATGTTTTGATTTGAGCCGTTTTGATCAAGGAGTTCAAGTAATGAGCATACACCCCAATGTCCACAGTGCACGTGGGGTCCTTTGCTGGATGTCGTTGGCCCAGAATGACAGAAAAACAACAATACTAGTTGGTTATATTCAAAAGTTAAAAAATGCCGCGTACATAGTTGACTTCTTGTGGTCATCTGAACAAATGTAAAATCTAACATTTTCTGAAAGGAAAGTGTTGTTCCTGAAGCTCCCTTTCAGGCAAAAACAAAATAAAACAAGCTTCTAATATGTAATTGGAAGCAAGCATAAACATACATATGTCTGCAAGCCTTCGATAGATTTTTATATCTATAGAAGGCTACAGAGTACAAATGTTCAGTAACTAAATAATGGCCCAAAATAAAAACAGTTGTGTTTCACTTTTAGAAAGAAGCTGGCTCAGCGTCTGCAGGAGGCTGAGGAGGCTGTTGAAGCAGTGAATGCTAAATGTTCCTCTCTGGAGAAGACCAAACACAGGCTGCAGAATGAGATTGAAGATCTCATGGTGGATGTAGAGAGGTCTAATGCTGCTGCCGCTGCTCTGGACAAGAAACAAAGAAACTTTGACAAAGTATTTTTCACATTTTATCGTTAAACTACAGCAAACACATTAATCATTAAAATCATGCTTTCTGTTCTTCATGTTGAACTATAAACCTGGCATGTCTGTGACAAATAACTACCTCTTGCTTTGTCAAAGAGTTGTTACAGTGCAGATACAGGGGAAACTATGGAGAGGTCAGTGATTTAAGCCTAAATTCATACCATTTCTATCTCAATGTCTATCTCAGATTCTTTCTGAGTGGAAACAGAAGTATGAGGAGTGTCAGTGTGAGCTGGAGAGCTCCCAGAAGGAGGCCAGGTCTCTC